AGATACCAGCCAACATGTAAAATAAAAAAATTGCTGTAAATGCACATCATTTGCAAAGGAATATTCAGCATGTCAACAATTACTGTTTAAAAGCAGCAGGTGAGAGACCAGGCTTAGGCTTCAGGATGGCAGCCTTTACTGATTTAGCAGAGCAAAGAAATAGAATTTCCTTCTCTTGAAAGCCTTTTTTTTTTTTTGAAGAATACAGAGCGGCTTTCTCCCTTGAAAATAATTTTTAGCTGCTTCTCAGGCCCAGTTTGTACCAGCTGTGCTCAATGTAAGATACAGTATTTAATGTTTCCATGGCAGAGCAGACAGAATTCAGTGAAGGATCCCATGTCCTATACATGATGGTTATAGCCAGAATACAGCAACTATTGTATCAAAATGAAATTATTACGGCGGGACAATTACTGCTATTATTAATACCAGAATTCACCATATAAAACACAATGCTGCCACTTTGAAAGTATGCATACCAAAATAACACACCTTTACCAAAAAAAGTTGATTTTTCTTGAAAAGGAAAATTGAATGTCCACAAAGCCAAGGTAACTTAAAAGCTTGTTGTCTTTCCACGGATCAAAATTTCTACAGCACATGAAATTTGGATGTTATTTCAGGCAGCATCCTGTCCTCTTTGAGGAAATAATGCAGTTGGGATCAATGCCTTCAGAGTTACTTTGTATTCAAAGACAGCACTGTCAATTAGTCAGTGAGTAATAAATGTTAAATGTCAATTAGTACTAAACTGTCTTTTTCTGTATACTTCTGCAAATCTGTTTCATGATGTCTGTGAAGCTCAGTATGACTTCACCTAATTTTTTTGATGAATATTCCCCTTTCTAATCTCAGCATTTTCAATGGAATACAAAATATTTGTATTGAAGTTTGCCTTGCAACTTTCTTAAATAAATTATTCCCTCTAATATCAATAAAAAGCTGCTATTTCCACATTGACTATATTAAAATACATATTACCTATAGAAGCAGTAAGTTAGGTAGCTTTTGGTACACAGATCTGTTAAAACAAATCTGTAAAAGATTAGTGCTCTGTGAAAAAGAAAATGTTATAAATAAACAAAAAAACCCCACCAAAAACAAATCAAAACAAAAAACACACACAAAAAAAAAAGCACCATGAAAAGAAAGACACATTTAAGCCTAGTCTGAATCTGTTCTGGTGTGTGGAAGTGCAATACACTTCACACCTCCAGACTTTTGCATTGGAAGGATTACAAAATTAAGGACCAAAAATCAGTAATAAATAGTAAGGAATTTCACAGACACTGACTTTAATGATTACTTTTAAAGGATTTTTGCTCCTTTTCTGATACATATGTCCATCTGTCCCCTTTCTGGTCTATTAACCTCAGAGTTATTGCCAGACATAAGCCAAAAGCTACTCCAGCAGCAAAAGCTCTTCTTGTGATGTGGGTGATGGGGTCTATTAATGCATCAGCCAACAGAGGTCTCTAAGATAATACAGATTTTAAGATTGTCCTTGTGAGAACCAGAATGGTGTGTAAGGGGAAGGAACACACTTTTTTCATCTGTACAGAACATGCCAATTACCACCTTTCTGTAACCATCAGGTCTGCAAAATGCAGACACTCCATATTCTGCAGAACATGACCTCACTCTGACATGGCTTAACAAGCAGTAAAAGAGCTCGTTAGCTATTCTTTGTGGAACTTATCCCTTCTATTAATTCTCTCTCTTATCTAAATTAACTTTTTAATTTTCAAAGTTCTTCAAAGACACAAAAAAGGCATTTCCTATGGGATGTAGAGTATATACTCATGCCACCAAGCCTGTACCCTTACCACTGTGTATGGCTGTTCTCTTATTCAGTAGCTCAAGTAGCTCTCCAGAATGTAATGAATCTTCTGCCTGGGATGTACAAACACATTCAAGCTACATCCTTCTCAGACCATCATTTTGACTGGAAAATTGACAAACTGCTTTAATTTCTCATTGCTGCTTTATATCACAGCAACCAAAGGAACTACTGAAACAAATGTCATTAAGGAGGGTGAGTTCAGAGGCTGAACAAACAGTTGTAGACAGAACACACACAAGGCCAAACAACGAGGTTATATTTAACAGCACAAGCACAGAAACTCCTGAGTATTGCATGATTTGAGTACCTACTGCTGTTTTTTATCTTCTGTTGCACGTGTTGTAGAGAAAGCACAATGCAAACTACTTGGTTCCATCAACCTGACACAAAGTCAGGAGGATGCTTCTCCTTTGAAAAGTCTTTTTTTTCCCCCTCCCCAGAGCTAAACAGATCTGTTCAGGACTGCTGCTATCACTATGGTTACAGTCAGCCTCTCCAGGAGCTCTGTTTGTACCACTGGCCCTAAGAGTAAGAGGGAGAAGCAGAACAACAGCACTGGGCCTGATGCAGGCTCAGGCACAGACGGTGGGGTCTAAATCTCTGCCTGGCCTGTGAAGGCAAGAGGAAAGGAAACTTGACAGGAAAAATTGGAAAACTAATAGAAAAAAAGCAGAATTATGGTGAGAAACCCCCAGATTTTCAGTGCACCTCAGTGCATGAAAGTAGAGTCTACATGCTTTACATCACCCAAGACTTGGGCATCCCTGGGGCAGAATTCAGGTATGAGGTGTGATATATCAGCCCTTACACATGCCTCCCTCCCTCCACATGTGCTTGAATGTGAGATTAACATAGACCAGCTCTATTTTTCTCACTTCAAATTCAGTTAAGAATTATCTTTCTGCCTCCAAATGGCTATTCAATTTGTCATTAATATAGCTCCTCTTCTTTAAAGCTTTCATTATTAAGTTAAAAGCACAGTTACAAAGAGTCAAGAAAGAAATCACTGATTCAGTGTTATTTTTGACAGCAAGAACCCTTTTCTGCTGCTTATATGGTCCTCATCTTGACCTCCACCAGCCAAGCTGTGCACCTGGGTTTCACAGAGCCAGCATACCAGGAAACTTCTTGGGACTTCATCTAAAATTACCCCGTGAAATGGCAACCCCAGCTCTCTATCTATTTAGTCCTGGGCAGGTCCCTCCCAGGAGTGGTGTACCCTTATTCAAGACGGTTCCTATTTCCTGTGCGGCTTTCATTACAAACACGAGCTCCTGTTTTGTGGGGTTGGGTTATTCTGGGGGGAGCAGTGGTTGGTTGTAAATCCAAAAGCAGTACAGCTTCAGTAGATCACATCCTGTCACTCTGAATTTAAAGAGTACTAATGTCTTCTTGTCTTACCTTCTTCAAGCACCTTAGATTTTCATTAAGACACCACATATATTTTAAGGCAATGGTACAGATTATCTGACTTATCTTTTGCTTCAATATTTTGACAATAGGAAAATAGAAAATTAGATGAATATTAACAATCACAATTTTTGGTGACACAGATGAGAATCTCAGTGACAGTAACTGTTGATAACAATATGGACTAGTTCAGAAAGTATCCAGACTTTTACACTGAAGATGTATAAGATGTACACTAGATGTTAATAAAAGTTGCATCACTAATTAAATACTTTGGCTAGCACAAAGTTGAAAACTATCCTTCTTGCAGGAAATAGAACCATTCTAAATTTCTGCTGTGGGGAGTCAACAAATGTCAAAACAGTTTGTGTAGTTGTTTTCGGGTTTTTTTTTTCTGTAATATACCTGTTAAAAAGGAAGTTTCACTTTTAAAGTCAAGTCGTTCTAAACTCCTGTCAGTTTTACCAAGAAAAATTCAGAGTCACTCTTAATGGAACATGAAATATAAGTAGATCCCAGCTGTTTCTTTCCACTGAAATCGATTGGGAGTATGACCCCAATAAATGATTGTGAAGTACAGAGAAAAAATTGTTTGTGTGCCTCTGCTAAGACATAGTTCTAGCTGCCACAAATCACTCCATTAATGTCAAATTCCTAGGCATTGAAGTTAACATTTCTGTGGTAACAGAAACAATTTCTAAATACTACTTAAATTTGTCCGTACTTGAACAGTGAACTCTAGTAATGCTGAAGAGCACAGAATTATCTCTCTGTGCAGCTCCAGGGTTTATTTATTTGGTATTCATTATGGAATAGAGCTGAGAACATTCTCACTATTGTAATATGAGAATCTCTCTTATGGGAATATCTTAAGTTTGCAGACTCCTAATGCTGATTGCTTACAGTGATAAACACTTTACATCTTTTTCTGAAATTAAATTGTGCTCCATAGCCAAACACTACATTTGAGAAAACCTTTGAATTTTGAAATCCAAAAATCTCTATCTGCTCTGCAAAAATGAAGGAGATTTAACCAATATTGAAAACGTGCAAATCTGAACACCTGTCTTCAGTCGTCCAAGGCACCATTTTACAGCTATTTTGGAAGAGATTTCCCACAGAAAAGATACCTTGAACTTTTGAGCATTATTTGAACAGCATTCCCAAGCTTTCAGGCTACCTAGGATTTTAAAAACTCTGTGTTGTTAGATAAAAACAAATCAAAACCAAAACAAAACAGAAAAATAAAAAAAAAGAGAAAGTATAAATAAATAAATAAATATAAAAAGAAAAAAGAAAGGAAGAAAAGGAAGAATGAAGTAGTAAAAAACCTGCTGTTTCATACTGTCACAGACCACCATCCCTTGTCAGTGTTCTGCTCCTGGAATAACAAGTGAAGATGGTGCCGTATGTCTTTGTAAGCAACACAGTCCAATTATCACTTGGTGTGCACAACTCTTCAATACTGACTGTACACAGTGTTTTCTCCAGCTAATTAAAACATGCGCTGACATTGTCTTCTGAAATTTGTTCTACCGGCAGCTCGAAGTAATTGCTATTTCGTTTAGACCCCACCCACTTAAATCACTCTACTCCAAAACTAAGTTCAGCCAATTTATGGTAATATATGTACGCCACATTTCCCAATACTCCACGGATCCCTCCGGTAGGCTTCAATTATACAATAAAATTGTAGCAATACATCCTCCCGAGCGTGGCTGGCTTGTAACCAAGACCCTCAGGGTACCTTAGATAACAGAGAGAAAACCCTCCTGGGGACGTATTTCAGATGTTTTTGATAACGATAACATCATAACAACGTTCTGGCAAAAATCTAGTCTACGTGCGGTTTTGGGATCCCTCGAGGCACTATTTTAAGCGTTCACGACAGGACCATGATGCGGGCCGGGGAAGCACCGGTGCCTGCGGCTCCCCCCAGTCGCGGAGCCGCAGCGGGGCAGTCCCCGCGC